GCTCTTAATAAAAATGGGACATGGGATATAGTCAAATTACCGAGGGAAAAGAAAATAGTAGGGTGCAAATGGGTGTTTACAGTGAAGTATAGAGCAGATGGAAGTATAGAAAGATACAAGGCATGCTTAGTGGCAAAGGGATTCACGCAGACACACGATATTGATTATGAGGAGACGTTTGCTCCAGTTGCAAAAATTAACTCAATTTGTGTCCTATTATCCCTAGCCACCAATCAAGACTGGCCTTTACACCAATTGGACGTTAAAAGTGCATTTTTAAATGGGGATTTGGAAGAAGAGGTATTTATGAACCCACCACCAGGGTTTGAAGCCCAGCTTGGTGAAGGAAAAGTATGTAAACTAAGGAAGTCACTGTATGGTCTTAAACAATCTCCCAGAGCCTGGTTTTAACAGTTTGGAAAATCATTTAAAGGTCATGGATATACACAAAGCGAGGCAGATCACACTTTGTTCTATAGGCACTCTAAAGAAGGAAAGATTTCCATTTTACTTGTTTATGTTGATGATATAATACTTACATGTAATGATCAGGACGAACTCAAAAGACTTAAGATAGTACTTGCATATGACTTTGAAATCAAGGACTTGGGAACTTTGAAATACTTCCTTCGAATGGAGTTTGCCAGATCAAAAATAGGAGTTTTCGTATCTTAACGAAAATATGTACTAGACCTCCTTGGTGAGACATGCCTACTAGGTTGCAAAGCAACAGATGCACAAATTGAACCAAATCAGAAGCTCTAATCAGCTAAACCAGAAGAAGTGAAGGACATGGAACAATTTCAGAGACTTGTTGGTAAGCTGATTTATCTGTCTCACACTCGCCCTGACATTGCATTTGATGTGAACATGATAAGTCAATTTATGCACTCACCGGGGCCACAACACTTTGAGGCAATTTACAGAATACTAAGGTACTTAAAAGGACAACCAGGGAAAGGCCTACTGTTTAAGAAGCATGGTCATCTACAAGTTGAGGCGTATACAGATGCAGATTGGGCTGGAAGTACAATTGATAGAAGATCAACTTCTGGCTATTGTACCTTTGTTGGAGGGAACCTAGTTACTTGGAACAATAAAAAGCAAAATGTGGTATCGCGAAGCAATGTGGAGGCTGAGTTCAGGTCAGTAGCTCATGGAATTTGTGAAATACTATGGGTCAAAAGAATCTTAGAAGAATTGAAGATTTCAAGCCCCTCACCAATGAAGGTCTATTGTGATAACAAAGCAGCTATCTCAATAGCCCATAATCCGGTTCTTCACGATAGAACCAAACATGTCGAGGTAGACAAGCACTTCATCAAAGAGAAGATAGATAATGGACATATTTGTATGATATATATTCCAACGGTTGAACAATTTGTTGATGTTCTTACCAAATGACTGCCAAGGAAACAATTTGAAAACTTATATGCAAGCTGGACATTGAAGATATCTTCAAACCAGTTTGAGGAGGAGTGTTACAAAGGAGAATATTCTCTTTTTAACTAATGACTGATTTTCAGGGATTCGTAGCTGTAATTGATATTTTTATCTAAATCAATGTATTTCATCTCATACAAAACACTCGTACATAATTGCTACGTAACATAAGTTCTTTCATTCTAAGAATTATTTTTTAAGCCTTAATTATGTCTAAATCGAATTCTTTTCTCCTCCGACTCCGAGTGCGACTTGTGAACATCAACCCTTCTCTTCAATCCTGTTCCCCCAAATCTCTTCCCCTCGAGCGCGAAATCGTTCCCTACCCTTCCTAGTTCCCTTTTCCCCAATTTCAAACCCTGCAAACTCCAATAGCCGAAGAAGAAGAAGAAGAAGAAGAAGAAGAACGGATTGAAAGATGAAGAAGAACGGATTGAAGCTTTGAAGAACGTTTTGTAAGTTGAATCAATTTCTCACACTACCTGGCTTCTTTGTTCTTGGCCCCTGGCCTTTCAAGTTTCTTCTTTTTCTTCCTATCACTATGATTTGAAGATGTACACTAGGTGTTCGATTATTTGCTTGATTAATTCATACTGCCCTCTCTGCACTGGTAGTCCGTAGTCTGGTATAGATTAATTTAGGAACTGTACAGTTTGCACAATTGCACTGGTAGTCTGGTAGACTGGCTCTGGTAGAGATTAATTTAAGAACGCCCCTAGTCTAGTAGACTTGCGGACATACTTTGCTCCTTGGAACACAA